CAGATTACGAGTCGAGCGCCCTAACCACCTGGCCACCAGTGATATTTTAGGTTGACAGTATTATGGTAAAGATAAAATCGGTACAAGCTTACACACATACACATATATATATACATGCATACTATTTCCTTATTTTAAGAAAGTGTGAGTAAGTAGACACAAAAGCATGCCTAACCCAAGAGCAAATTGTGCAACATTACGAACGTGAATTAAAGGTAATTTACCACCTACCTCCAAGTTTCTTGTTAATTAATTTTTATATTAGAAAAATTACAGCATGCTATAATAATAAAGTAAGATACGAAATAGCAGATATTCTAGCAATTATTTAATGGAAGACAAATGAAAAAAATAAAACTTACTTACTTACTTCGCACTGCCTTTTTTTTTAAATCAAAGTTGGTGTTCACAAGAAGACTTGCGAATTTATCATTTTAGCATATATTTGTTTTTTCTCACCAAGGTTATTAGTATATTGCACCAAAATATTATTGTTAAAACAGCACAACGTTTAAGTTGTTGAAACCCCTAGAGAGCAAGACTAAAGAGATTACGCTGTTAAAACATACGGATATATAACCAATAATATTACAGAGTATAATTTGTAGAAAAATGTAAACAAAATAACTGAGCAAGTTACGCTGCGAAACCATATGGACAACACTGTAACACTAGTATATATATTTTTAAAACAGTAATCAACAACATTACACAGTATAATTTGTAGAAACATGCAAACACTTGAACTGAATAAGTTGCACTGTGAGACCATATACAGAACACTATGACACTAGAATAAGCTGTTGAAATATGTTGCTAACTGTGTGGCACAAGGTAAGCTGATGAAATACGTAGGAGACACAAGAAAAGCTGACGAAATATTTAGATGACACAAGACTGAATAAATTAAAGCTTTCGAAACACGAAACTTATAATATGGCAAAAGTTCATTTGTTGCAGACGCAATATTGAACAGGTTGTGCTACTGAAACTAATACACAACAAGATAACGCAAGTATAAGCTATTGAATTATGTAGACACCAAGACTGAATAATATAGCTAATAATACTTCAAATGTGTAAGTTGTCGAAACATACAAGTTAGGTATCACTTACAGGAACAAGTGACTTACAATACGACTTAGGAATAAGTTGTTTAAACATGCAGATAACAGAATAATATAGATTAAACTAAAGAATAACTTAGTGAGTAACATTACATGATATAATCTATTGAAATATACAGATGATATTTCTAGAAATAATAGTCGAAACTGTAATTTGAAATTCAATAACCCTGTATGCGTTAATAAAAGGTCAATGATAAGAAATGTTCGGTTAAGTAAGGTCACAACAATGTTATTAGTTTGTATCGGAACTTCCGTGTGGGAGTGAAACACAGGTTATGCGAGATTATCAGTTTGTTTGTTTGTTTGTTTTCAATAAAATATCAAAGGAAAACTAAAACTAATCTAACTGCATCCTATTGTTCATTCACTTTCTCAGACGATCAAGAAAGCAATGCAAGAAGTTTGTCACAAGACCAGTTTACAACCGGTTTCCTGTCTCAAGCTTTTACAAAGTAAACTTTATGCAAGAAAAAAAATCATCCCATGTTTAGCAGAGTGAACTTGTAATGTTACTAAGCAGGTTAGTGAATATATGTTAATGGCTATTATCACAGCGTCTATAGGTACGTGCCGAAAGTAGGCACCAACATCAGATTAATTTTAGTTTTATAAACGGAAAAAAATAAACAGAAAATAAGAATTTGAGCAGACACAGATTTAATCTTGAACGCACCAGTTAAATCACACTTCCTTTTTTTTTAAATCATAGATGTATTTGTTCTTCGTGGTTGATACTTAAGTACTAATTGTGTTACAAAACGAAAGAAAGGGAATTTTCAGAATTTAATATATATATATATAAATATGACACATGATTTTCTGTGGGCCTCCGTCAAAAACCTACGATTTAAAACTGCTTTTTCTTATGCGTTTCTGTCCCCGTTTATATCAAAATAAAACCGGTAAGTTAGCGTTAGTACACACTTGCATTAAAACAAAACCGATAAGTTAGCGTTAGTACACACTTGTATTAAAACAAAGCCTATAAGTTAGCGTTATTGCACATTAAGCTTGATACAATAGATTTGGAATTTCAAAATTTAAGCATTTTAATACCACTTGTGAACGCAAAACGAAACACTGAACAAAAACAATGTTTCCTTACATATCAAACATAAACGAACTTAAGATGTTACCCAAACTGTATTTTCTTGACAAGTGCTTTATTTAGTGAAATCAAAGTAAACTTTCAACTATTTTGTCTTCCGGTTGTAATAAAATAAAAACCATCTCTTAGTGTCAAATTAATAAGTTCATGTTTCATCACTAAGTAATTAATATCTTTATCTGAATATAACTGAACAAGTTTTGAACAGTTACTGTGGAAACCGATAGGTGGCGGTCAAGTACGTTAGTCTGTGCTTCTTAATTTTAATAGTTGAAATTTGCATTAAGTATGTGCTAGTCGTAATTTGCAATAAAGGAAACATAATTAACATGACATTTCAATATATGATAACAACTTCAAAATTCTACCATAAACTCGGCACTTTCAAGTGCTTGTTAAAACCAGAAAAAACTTAATATGTAAATTAATTGTAAATAATAGGTTTAGCTAATATCTTCGTCAGGTTTTAGCCGTCACCCATCTATCCACACACACACACATATATTATATATATGAATCATAAGCCAAAATCTTAACTTGAATATTTTACATACTTTTGGGAACAAACGTTTCTTTATAAAAGGCTGACTTTATGCAGCCATTAATATCATAAACGTACCGCTCGGCAATAAAACAGAAATGTCCTTTTAGTAGCTTATGTGTTTGTTTGTGAATTTCGCGCAAAGCTACACGAGTGATATCTGCGCTAGCCGTCCCTAATTTAGCAGTGTAAGACTAGAGGGAAGGCAGCTAGTCATCACCACCCACCGCCAACTCTTGGGCTACTCTTTTACCAACGAATAGTGAGATTGACCGTCACATTATAACGCCCCCACGGCTGAAAGGGCGAGCATGTTTGGTGTGACAGGGATTCGATCCCGCGACCCTCAGATTGCAAGTCGAGTGCCTTAACCACCTGGCCATGCCGGACCTAGTTTATGTGTTGAAAATAACTTATATTAAAATCGAATACGACATTCACTTTTGAATGCTACCAGAGAGGCGAATAGGGAGCCTTTTGATAATAATAAAAAAATATAATATGCTGGTTGCCCAAATATGTCTGGTTGAGACAAAAATTAATAAAAAAAAGTTTACTGCAAAGTTTCAAGCAGGAAATCGAAGCTCGACATAAGTTGTTTAATTTCCTTTCGATTCTGAGTAGATTTTCATTAATGAGAGAATGATTCAAACTTGCTGGAAGAGCGTAACATAAGGTCATAAGTACAAGAGAGAATGAGAGTGAACTCGTAGGGGTTTAATATCCTTAAAAATAAAAGATCGAAACTAAAATCTAAGCTTTCTATTAAATCTTCTATAGACGATAGATCTTTCACGTCTTGCGTAACACATTACGTATTCAAGTAAAAAACATCATTGTTATAACATCTCTAATTCAGCTTCGAACACATAATTTCAACTTTTTTCAAATAGATGAAAACCAAACCAGCACTTTCAATGAAAATTAAATAATAAAATCTTATAAATATTGCACGCCAAATCATTATTTAGGTAGTCAGTATAACGATTTTAAACACCAGGCTTTTTATAATGATATCAAGTTTTGATAAGTTACACTTTTAATTTCATTTCATATCAATAAGTATTTTAGCCCCCGATGTATTAACGAGACTTTACCACTAAATATGCGACAGGATACACTTAACTTAAGTAACACAAGACATATAAAATTCAATAATTTCTTCCAAATATAACTGGCTCATACTTGTCAGATGCATTCGAAAAATTAATCTCTTTTCATCATTCGTGTAAACATGAAACTAATAAAGATTAATACGTTATCAAACTAGAATGTTTTATTACCTGTATAAACATAATAATTTAATATATCTTAACCTACGTCTTCACTTGTTGTCAGTAGGTGTCTTTCTTTCAATGGTATAATATAGGTTAGAATGTTGAAGGTTAGAAACGAACTGATTTGATAATGCTCAATAAAAGATATAACATAAAACTGAGTGCTTAAACTAAACAATTATCACAAGAACAACCTACGCATATTAACATTCCCTTAAAGGTTCCTGTGCAGACATCTTTTACGATTTTCACCCAGCAACCATAAGAAGAATAAAGTTGTCACTATCACTCATCGGATAGATATTAATGACGTAATACCAGAATCATATTATAGTACAAGTATATGATATGAAATAAAATTAAATCGGTTTATTTTAATAAAAACTTGTTTGGTTTATAAATCTAATTACTTAGGTATTGAATATGTTATATAAAATATTATTTAGAAAGAGCTTACCTTTTTCTTAACTCCAATTGGTGTCCAATGTCTACTTTGATTTATGTACTGCGATTAACGCTAGCCTGATTACTTGCAACTTTAAAGCAGCACGATGATTACATAGAAGATATAACACAATTACGAAAGAGACTATTTTTTAATTGTACTTAATCCTTCCTCACTGGACTGACGAGTCTGTTCTTGAGAAAATAAACGTTGAAAAAAAAAGAATATAATAATCTATTTATTAGTTATTGCAGATCTCCATTTTCCGGGACACCTAAACAAGCCTTTCAACCCATCACTACACGCTCTTGTTGTCGTCTACAGTAAATGCAGCTGTGCTGGAGCGACAAAACCTAGTACACTGGACTAGTCCATGTTAACGCAGGTATTGGCAGTAGCTGAACTCATGAAGTGTAAATCATCTGTTCTACACATATAACAGGGAAACATGAAAAACTATAGAGACTATAATATTTTAAAGGATAAAGATTGACAAGCAATTTTTTTAATAAACTGCTATCGAAGTGACAAATAGGAAATAACATCTACAAAAAAATAAAAAGTTCCAGAAAAACAATAGAAATAAGTGATATTCATTTTTGCTTCTTTTAAAAGATACTAAATTGTAATTGCAATTTAAACTGTATATTCACAGTTAAATAAGTTGGAAAATGAAACAAGTGTCACGAGTGTAATTCACTTTAGAAACTAAACTAACTAAATTAGCTTTGACGAATATTCGAATTAATAAACTAGCAACACGAGATCACAATGTTGTGTACAAATATGCATAACAAAACGTATATTTACATTTTATTCGAAGGTCAATTCAATTGTTTAAAATGATGCATTCTTACATAAATTGCTTCTGTTACATATAGCTAAAAAATATTTCACAATTAGTTGGACTGTTGAAAAATTTATATGTGCTAGTTACTTGTGGCTTACAAACTTCAACCTTTTGGCTAGGCCTTTTTTCTCCTCATTTGGTAATAGATAGTCTGAAAAATTACGAATTACACATAATTTGGATGTTCTAAAACACGAAATCAATTTTACACTGGACTAGTCCATGTTAACGCAGGTATTGGCAGTAGCTGAACTCATGAAGTGTAAATCATCTGTTCTACACATATAACAGGGAAACATGAAAAACTATAGAGACTATAATATTTTAAAGGATAAAGATTGACAAGCAATTTTTTTAATAAACTGCTATCGAAGTGACAAATAGGAAATAACATCTACAAAAAAATAAAAAGTTCCAGAAAATAACTTGTGTCATAACTGTTTTGTGCTCTGATCACAGTTCAAGCATTATTATTAACATTTTCCAATAAAACGAAAGTTTGCTTGATTCAGAAGTTACTTGAAGTTTTTTTTTTCATAAAGTTGGTCTGTGTTTTAATTTCACTACATTAATCTTTTGTTTACAAAGAAAGGAAATATTTTGTGTTTATTTATAATCTTTAGGGAAAAAAAATGCATTTATTATTCACATCCTAAAGTGAAAGAAATCTCAGAATTCGTTTTCAAAGGTCTGAAGAACTTTATTTTATGTAGAGAATCATTATTTAATTTCCAAATTTACTTTGTAAATACCACAATTTTCTAAAGTTTGCAAAGTATTCCTCCCGTATCGATTTAGAATGATATCTGTAATATTTTTACTTTTAGGAAATTTAAGGTCCAGAGGATTTTAAGAATGAAGAGAACAACTTAAGCGATTTTAATGTTTATTGTTCAAATGTCACGTGTGGCTTGGATGATGTATCCAGTTTGTGATATATGACATAACGTGGGAAGACTGGCTTTGATCCTTTCATTGATGTTTCAAGTTGTTTCCATTGGATTTGTTAAAGAATGCGGCTGTAAATTGATTTGAAGGTTTTAAAAGCCAAATGTTAGCGTACAATTTAACAAATATCATCAAATAATGTGTTATTTGATAAAACAGCGGGAATCACTGTAAATTCGAGAAAGAGAAAACAAACGAGGACGTAACATGTTTTGAAGGGAATATTTGCCAGTTTATGTTAAAATTAATTATGCCCTATTTTAATACTATTTCTTTCACATTCAAAAAAATATATATTATCCACTTATACCATCAAATTCGGTTAAAATATGATTTTAAACTGAGATAAGGTAATTTCTTCAATGCAATAAAAAAGAGAATCATTTAAATGATTCTCTAGTATTGAATGGGTTCAAGGGCCAGAGTTACAATCATAGAGATATATTGGTTCTACCACTATAATGCTCTGTTGTCGCATCAGTGATCACTGTGGCATTAACAATACCAACCTCAGTAGTACTGACAGTCACTATATTTCCGTATCATATTACAAGCATGGGAATACATACAACTACACAAATTTTAATTCCTACTAGAAGCATTAGAAAACTCACTAAAAACTAGAAAATGAGTGTTCTACTGCTTAAAAACTTGGAAATCAAGAATTAAATTACAAGAAATTGTTTAACGAAATTTAAATGTTCTAATGTGTTCAGATATTATTTTATTACCAGGTATGTTTAAAAGATTTTGTATGAAGTTAAAGTACAGTATCACGTTTTTCACTTTCTCTAATGAAATTAACTTAGCTATAATTAGCAAAGTAAAGTTTGCTGAATGAGCTGAAGGCAACACTTTCATGTATAAAGGTAACGTGTGAAAAAGCTACACCATAATACCCCGCACGAAGTAGGCTGGAATCATGACGTGCTTTTTTGCTCTTACTTTCACCTTTCGGTTACGAAAGACTGTGTATGAAGCTGTCCTTATTTCCAACTAGATCTACAACTTAAGTTTTCTTTACCTTTTTATTATTATTAATATGCCTACGCAATCCTTAATGGTTTATATTACAAACTTGATTTATGTTGATCCTAATTTTTGCGTTCACTAATGAGGTTGTTTCTCATCTTTACAGACGGAAATCCTACTAAAGTACCTATTAATAGATATTAACCTATCATACTTCGAACATATAATCGCCTACAGCTATATTAAAGTTTATAAACTCTGGCCAAAATTCAGATACAAACCTTGTCACTTGTTGTGCAAAAAACAGAAAAGTTTTCGAAAATGATGAAGAAAAAGATAAGGGTTTTTCAATAAATCATTAGTTATCTGATCACTTTAACAAAACCTTGTACAAATATATCATTTCTCTTTGCGCTAATACAATTCATTATAATAACCTATAAGTGTTATGTTTAACCGTGATTAACAATATCATAACACCAAAGTAACTAGATTTTAACTTTTCTAAATTCTTATTGTATAATTATAGGTAGTTAATTTGAAATAAGTTTAACAAATGCCTTAAATTGGAACAACTTTTTTTCATAATCGGTTTCAATCGATTCTGCACAGGTAATTGTTCGATTTACTATCTAACGAATATTTTAAGAACTATACCATACCCAGATAGCTGCTTTAATTTCTGACATGTAGCTTTAGAATTAGATTCTGCGCAGGTAATAGATCGGTTTGCTTTATAACGCCTATAACAGGTAACTGTTTTGCTTTCTGATGTGAAGCTTTAGAATTAGATTCTGCACTAATAATGAATGGGTTTATTATCTGACGAGTATTTTAAGAACTAGATTATTCCCAGGTAAGGGCTTTATATTCTAGCGTATAGCTTAAAAAAACTTTAAACGCTATAATAGCAATGTATTTCGGTTTCTAGCGAATCTATCCAGAACTTGTCTTTTCATTACAAAAGATATACTTTCTCTCGTGTAGTAATCGACTGTGCTCATGCTATTGGTTTTGGACGTGTGTTTCCAGAAGACGATTTTACACAGCTAAAAAGTTTATTTTCTAACGTGTGGTTTCAAACAATGACTCGTTATGCTACCAACACTGAACAAATATGCTTCTCCCCGTAAAACCGTTTCAGCTAAGTTGTTGAGAAGATCACTAAATGAGAATACTAACTGACTGAGCTGTTCTCTCTAAATGCATGCTGGGCACACCCGTTACTCCTCATCCTGAACCCAAGCCACTTTCCACTTTGTTTTACAGTCTCAAATTGCATTTAGTTTTACATTTCCCTGATGGAATTAAGTTGAATAAAATACTGTTTATTATGTAAAATATTTTACATAACAAAATTTTTTAATGAATTTAATAATGAGAACGAGTTACAAAAATATATTGATTCTTCGTGTATTTTGTGTGTATTTGTGTATAGCAAAGCCACATCGGGCTATCTACTGTGTTCACCGAAGGGAATCAAACCCTTGATTTTACCAATGTAAATCCGAAGACGTACCGCTGTCTCACCGGGGGCATTTTTGCATTGTTAATGATATATCAATTTACTTGCATTTTGGATTTATAAATTTCAAGCGTAAAGCTGCTTATATTTTTAATCTATCTTAATTTCTGATTGTATCAGATCAAAAGTAAATCTCTGGTTGTGTTTATTCTTATTTAAACAAATAGTAATTCTTAACTTTCTTCACACAGTATTTCACTTTTTAATTTTGTATTATGTTAAACTATTAGTTTACGATTTTATATTTCATTTATAATGCCACATTCTGTTTAAATGTTTTCATTTTCTTTTATTCTACATTTTATTTAGCAACTGGTTTTTGAACTTTCTAAAATTTCTATTTAAGGATGTTCCTTTAATATATATTTATTTATTTACTTATTGAGTTGTTTTCCTGATGTATCTTGTTAATTTCTGTAATTAGTAAAGTGTATATTTAGCTTTATGTTAGTTAGCTTCTGGCATAAGAATTTGTAAGAAGGTTTGTGATGTGATACACTCTCATCAATGGAAAATAGACGTTCCCTTTTTGTTTCTGTTGTACGTGGTTTCTTTATTTCGGTTCGTTTCGTAAACAGTGTAATTCATTGATTGCATATTTTAATTCCTTGGTTTTCGTTGACTTTTTTATCTAAAGTGTAGACTTTCTTTTATATCTCGGATTTTCCTGTTTCTTACTCCAATAATTTTTCAACTTTCTTCCCAATCTGTAGCATGCCCTACAGTTGCATATTTAACAATGGTGGAAGTATTGACCTTTCCTGTCGCACAGCATATGGATGATCTTTTAGTCTTTGTCCCAAACGTCTATCCGTTTTTCCTATGTATTTGTCTCCATAGCTACACGATGCCTTGTAATTACTTTGTGGTTTTAAGTCAGTTTGTTGGTTGTTGCACGTTCAAGAAGGTTGCTGTCTCAAACTCAAATCTCGTGTCAATAGAAACATACATATTTCAGAACTTACGATCTGTGAGATAGTTTCACGTGAGGATCAG